CTCCCCTCCTGATGGCCAGCGGCTCCTGCCCAGCATCTCGTCCCTGTGAGGCTCCACGACACACCCTGGCAGTTGACGGGGAGAGGGGCTGAAACGGGATGGTTCCTGGGATGCAGAGTGGCTTCACATCCTCCAGGGTCTTCTTGACATTTAATGTTAGTTGTTACCTTGACAGGGATACGGGGGTCTTCTTGACATTTAATGTTACTTGTTACCTTGACACCTGGGCATGTGTGCGCATGGTTACGGTTTCTATGTCTGCTTCGGGTCTTGCTGACCACAGGAGTTTTCCTCTTGCAAATTCTTCTGGAGCTGAGTTGGTTTCTGGGTTAACTCAGCTCCTTCCTTTCAGTGTGTTAGGAAGTGACGTAAGAGGAGAGGCCGGCCTCTGCTTGTCGGTGTTTGTACTGAAGGGCACTGTGTCTGTTGTAAGTGGCAACCTTGGCGACCTCCTTAGAGATGCGCTCCTCCAGGGAAAAGCAGGCCATGGTGGAGGGGGCTGTCCGTGGTGCTAAAGCAGGGCCGCCCTGGTGCTCCCAGCCCAGCGCTGGTTCCTGCTGCAGGAGCCGTGGCTACACCTGCCCACCTTCTCCCTCCAAGTCCATCATCTCCTTTCTGGAGAATTGGACTCAACACTGTCATGAGAGGAATAGCCTCTTTCTTGTGGAATTACCTGGCCACCATTGCAGCCTGCCAGCTCAGCAGCTGCCCCTTTAGAAAGGAGGTGAGTTCGTTGGGTGTTGTAGGGGCCTCAGCAGATAAAGGGTCTCCCTCCAGCCTTGGATCCTGCCGTGTGGGAGACCCCGGGCAGAAGACAGGACTTCCCGGTACCCCTGAGGCCTGGGTGTTCTCCAGCAGGAAGGGACAGTGATGGGGGGGGGTCACCTTCAGCCTCAAGGCGTCTTTCCTTATTGTGGGCTGCGGTTTGAGCCCTGGATGGTTTGCTCAGTGGTTAGAGCGTCGGCCCTCGGACTGAAGGGTCACAGGTTCCATTCTGGTCAAGGGCACGTGCCTTAGTTGCCGGCTCTATCCCCAGCCCCAGTTGGGGTGCGTGCAGGAGGCAACCAATCGATGTGTCTCTTACACCGATGTTTCTCTCTGTCTCTCCCCCTCCCTTCCACGCTCTCTAAAAATCAAGGGGAATATATATCTTCAGGTGAGGATTAACCACCACAACAAAACGTCATTCTGAAAAACTGTGTGCGGTTAGGGTGGGAGGGAGGAATGTGTACAGATAGAACATGGCTGTTTGAAGAGTGGCGCTGTCCTCCTGCCCCCAGCGTCGCTGCTCGGGCCTCTGCTGCCCTGCCCAGCCAGGACCCTCCCCCAGCCAGGACCTCCCCCAGCCAGGACCCTCCCCCAGCCCGGCCGTGGGGCTGGGAAACGGCAGCTCTGCACCCCAGTTCCCCTCCTCTGGCCTCCTCTTGGTGCAAAGGTGCTGAGTTTGTGCTGACCGTTGCCCTAGAAGCTCTTTAAACCCTTTTATTTTCCCACAAAGACACTGAGTTAAACCTGCCATTTGCAGCCTTCCATCCCCTGCCCCGTCTTTCACCCCGTCCCCAACGCTGTCGTCTGAGTTACAGGATCAGGGTGATGAGGGGGAAACCGCAGCTTTATCGCCACCATTTCTCCCGTGATGATGTGCTCTGGAGTCTGGAGGCCCAGGTGAGCGCGTTGCTGGCAGTTTCTCTGGCTTCCCGTAAGGGGAGCCGAGCTGCTGGTTGCCAAGCAACGCACATCCCTGGCTTCTTCCTGCAACGTGGACTTAAAAAATGTCCTGGTTGCTCATGAATGGGGATCACGTGGGATACACGGGGCAAACGGTTCGCTCTAACGGCATCACGCCCCTTCTCTTCTGTCCCCGGTGTCTTCCTGAGAACGTACGGGGTCACGCGGGTAAAATGCACCTCTTACAGGGCTTGTCACGAGAAGCTTCATGGCGGCCGCGTCATGTCACTTGCAGAGCTCGTGTGGCAAACCTGCCGACTCGCTAAGATGCATTTGTAACCCAAGTAGCGACGCGTGTCGCTTCCCGCCTCTCACCAACGTGCTGAGGCCGAGTTGCCGATGGGCGTGTTCCCAGCCGGGCTGGACGAGGCCTCGCTCTGCCCTCTCACCCCCTCGGCCTGGGAACAGCGTCCTCTTACAGTCTGTGCAGTGGTGCTCGTGATCTGCATGTGTGAGCTTTCCCTTGGCGATTTCACTGTTTAAATTGCCCCCCCCCCCCGCCCCGTGTGGCCTGTGGTGCCATCCAGAGTCCTGTTGTGCAAGAAGGGTGGGCGTGCCTTCCAGAGGACACCCGTGGTTACCGAGGCTCCTCCGTTCGCTGTTGGTGTGAATTTAATGTTCACGAACCAACAATGTGCATCCGGGAAAAGGAAGAGGATTCATGGATCTGTAGTCAGGCTGGAATGGACAGTCTTAGGTTACATCTGAAGTGCATGATGGATGGTTCAGGCCGGGTGGCTCAATTGGTTGGGGAGTCGTCCTGTACACCAAAAGGTTGTGGGTTCGATCCCTGGTCCAGATACGTGCAGGAGGCAATCGATTGATGTTTCTTTCTCAAATCAATAAAAACATAATCCTCAGGTGAGGGTTAAAAAATAATAATAAATTTAAGAAATAAAGTGCATGATGAAGCTATGGGAAAGTGCTGGCGGTGTCTGTAGGCTCACAAGACGAGGACTGATTAAATAAGTGTAGCGGGCAGGATCCTGTGAGCTGGAGGCCACGGGAATGTACGTCCTGCTGCCCAGGGTCAGGCGGGTTACGCCCTCCTCAGCCAGTGTTTTATTAGAAGGAAACCAGTGCTCCTAGTTCAGTCTTTGTAAGAAATACCCATTCGATACGGTGTCTTGAAACAGAAACACATATGCAGCCAGGTTACATATTGACCTACGGACGCCCTGGGACCGAGGCCTCCGGGACCTCGCCGTGTGTTCCCGGGAGCAGCCGTGCCGTGTGCACTGATTCCGTGTTAGCAGAACTGCTGTCATGAGAACTAAGAACTGGCTGTATGTGCGCACAGCTGACCCCATGGACGCCGTCTCCACTGCCCCCCCTCCCCCCCGCCAGGGCCCGTCACGGCTCAGCCAGGTACAGCGCCTGCACAGAGCCCGTCTGCCCGGAGCGGAGCAGGCGTGACTTCCCCTTGGTCGTCGGCGCTGCTGGTGGCTGTGGCGTCCCTTCTGGGTACGTTGTGAAAGGCGTTAGATGTTTGCCGCCAGGCCCGCTCCTCCTCCACACCCCATACCTTTCACTGAGTCTGGGCTGCTGTGACATCTACCACAGACCAGGTGGCTTCAACCACAGAAGTGTATTTTGCACAGCCGGGGGTTTGGGTCCAAGTTCAAGGCACCGCAGGTTCAGGGTCTGGAGAGGTCCCACCTGGTGGTTCCTGGACAGCGTCTTGTTGCCATAACCTCACGTGGTGGGAGGAGTGAGGGGGCTTCTGGGGCCTCGTTTACAAGGGCACTAACCAGTTCATGGGGGCCCCACCCTCCTGACCTAATCACCTCCCAGAGGCCCACCTCCTAACACCATCACATGAATCTGGGGAGGACACACATTCAGCCCCTCTCCTTCCTCACTCTGTCACTGGTTATTTTGCTTGAAAGGAAACCCTGGTATATTTTTAAATTGCCCTGGAACTGAGCCCGAGTGAGCCCAGCAGCCCCGAACTGGCACCTGAATTGGTCCCAGATGGAAAGGAAAAACGATTGTCCTCACACCCGTCTCTCCTCCCCGAAGGCAGATGCAGGTCACGTGAGAAATGTCTTCCCATTTCCCAGGTCTGATCTCTGAGGATGGTGGCCTGCGTCTCACACTGAGTCAGCCCAGCGGGCCCGTTCCCCTCAGGGAACTGTGCAGGGGGGCTGACAGGGGCACGGAGGGGAGGATAGAACCCTCAGATGACGCTGTGAACACACACAGGAGTGTGAGCACACACGGGTGTGAGCTGAGCGCGCGCAGGGCTGTGAGATGAGTGTGCCAAGGGCTGTGAGCTGAGTGTGCAAAGGGCTGTGAGATGAGTGTGCAAAGGGCTGTGAGATGAGTGTGCAAAGGGCTGTGAGATGAGCGCACACAGGGGTGTGAGCTGAGTGTGCAAAGGGCTGTGAGATGAGCGCGTGCAGGGCTGTGAGCTGAGCGTGCAAAGGTCTGTGAGATGAGCGCACACAGGGGTGTGAGATGAGTGTGTACAAGGGCCTGAGAAGTGGGCTGCCCCCCGAGGTGAGATGAGGCGGCAGCAGCTGAGCAGACCTGTGGCTGGAGATGTGAGCCGCCCTCTGGAAGCCAGGCAGGGAGGAGCGGGGACAAGAACAGGGAGGAACCCGGAGCCGCCTCCAGCTCCATGTTTAAGGATCCTGGAAACCGTGTAAACGCCTGGGTCCCGTCTCACGGCTCAGGGCCCTGCCCCTCAGCCCCACAGAGTCCCCAGAGGAGGTTTTTCTAGGAAGTTCTGTTCCGTGGCTGACTGAGTGCTCGGGCTGTGTCTGTGTTTCGTCACTTTTAGGAACAGGAATTCCTTTATTACCGCTCTGTGCAAATATGAGTTACACGACAACAGCAAGAAACGGGGTGCGACTCTGTGGCAAAGGGCCTTTGTGTGTTTTATAGACACCCAGATCTTCAACGCAAGTTCCCAGCGGGGGAGGGGCTGCCTTTGTGGCAGGGGTGGGCCGTGAGCAGCGGTGGGCCGTGTGTGCAGCCAGCGGCGGCATCCCTGGCCACAGCCGTCCTCCCGCTCTGTTCCCAGGCCTCTGTGTGCCCCCTGGGTACAGACACAGGGTGCCCGTCACGGCCGGGCGCAGGGCCAGGGGAGGCGCTTGCATGAGCCCTGTCCTTGGGGTGAGAATCTCTTGCTCAGCTGCCAAGTGCGAAGAGCCTCGTGCTAGAGAGTGAGCTGATCAGTCCGCCATGAAAACCCACTGCCCTCAAGCAGCAGCCTGCAGAGGCCCGAGCCCGGGCGGGCGCCCGCTAACGCAGCCCCATGCCCGCAGGGACAGCAAGCTCACCATGCTGCTGCGCGAGTCCCTGGGGAACGTCAACTGCCGCACCACCATGATCGCGCACATCTCGGCCGCCGCCGGCAGCTACGCCGAGACCCTGTCCACCATCCAGATCGCCTCCCGAGTCCTGAGGATGAAGAAGAAGAAAACAAAGGTAGGGAGCTGGCGGGGTGGGGGGAGGGGTGTGGGAGCCGCTCAGAAAAACCAGCTCAGCAGTCTCCCCGCCACCTGGGTCAGGAGCGTCTGTCACTCCCGGGCCCCACCGTCGCTGCCTTTCGGGGTCATCCAGCCCGGACCCCTGACCGGGGTGCACGTCCACATGGGAGGGACGGAAGGCTCACGCACAGCGGCTCCCACCGGCCTTGGTCCAATGGAGACCAAGACCGTGTCCCGTGTCCCTCAGTGGCTGGCCCCAGACGACTGCTCATCCCTTACTCAGGTGGCCCTCCCCCTGCGTGTCCAGGAGGCCTTTTCAGGCTGCTGGGCTCTGCCCTGTGAGGTCAGGGGTTGCTGGTTGGTGTTCAGAGTCCGTGACACACCCCTGGGCTCACCTGGTGAGGCAGAGGCCAAGCCAGCCAGCGGGGGCGTGAGACGACCGTGTGAGGAAGTGACCAATGTGGTCACTCTGATTCAGGGCCGGCTGGTGACGTGGGCTTTCCCCTCCTTTCTGTAGCTTTTCATAAATAATAACAAGTAAGTCTTTCAAACCAGTGTTTCGTGGGACAAGGTGCCACAATGACTGGGGGGCCAAGTTCATGACCCCCCGCCCTGAGGAGCTCAGCCCGGCCCGGCTGGTCACCCCTTCAGGAGCGAACTCTGTCCTGTGTGCCACGCATGGGCTGCCCTTGGCACAGCCAGGCAACTGCCCATACGCAGGGCAGCCAGCCCGCAGCCAGGAGCCTATAGCCAACCGGCATCCCTGGGGGTCCCTGGGCGGCTCCTGGGGGCCCTGGGCAGCTTTCTGGGGGCCCCTGAGGCAGCCCATGCTGACTGTCCTCTCGCCCACAGTACACGTCGAGCTCGTCGGGGGGAGAGAGCTCCTGTGAGGAAGGCAGGATGCGCAGGCCCACGCAGCTGCGGCCCTTCCAGGCCAGGGCCGCCGTGGACCCCGACTTCCCCGTCCCGCAGCTGTCCAGCGACCCCGACTACTCGTCCAGCAGCGAGCAGTCCTGCGACACGGTCATCTACATCGGGCCCAGCGGCACGGCGCTCTCCGACAAGGAGCTCACGGACAACGAGGGCCCCCCCGACTTCGTGCCCATCGTGCCGGCCCTGCAGAAGCCCAGGGGTGACAGCCGGCCCCCCGAGGCCGGGGCGGCCGCCGCCCGCAAGCCCGAGAGGGACTGCCTCAAGTGCAACACGTTCGCGGAGCTGCAGGAGCGGCTGGACTGCATCGATGGCCGCGAGGAGCCCGGCCTTTTCCCGTTCCCGGAGCTGCCTGCACAGGGCGGGGCGGAGCAGGCGGACAAGGGCCCCCCGCTGAGCCCCGCTGCCCGGGCCAGCCTGCTCTGTGAGTCTGACAAGGAAGACGCGGGGTCAGACGGCCAGCTGACAGACAGAGGAGGCGCCGACGCCCCGGCCTCCGGGATGCCCAGGGGTCACTCTCCTGTCCCGGCCGCCACCCCTGCCTCACCCCGGAGCGTCCCCGGCGGCACCAGCCAGCAGGGCGCCTCCCAGCTCGTGCGCAGCCCCAGCCTGCAGAGCAGCCGAGAAAGCCTGACCTCCTGCGGGTTCGTGGAGGGCAAGCCCCGGCCCCTGGGCTCCCCGCGGCTGGGCGTCGCCAGCCTGTCCAAGACGGCCGAGTACCGGCCGGCCAGCTCGCCCTCGCAGCGGTGCAAAGTCCACACCCAGAAGGGCGTCCTGCCCGGCCCCGCGCCCCCGTCCCCCCTGAGCACGGACTCGGGCGTGGTGTCCGGGGAGGCCCCGCCGCCCGAGGGGCGCACCCCCCCGGTGGGCATGAGCCCCCAGGTCCTGAAGAAGTCCCTGTCTGCCGGGAGCCAGGGGCCCCCCCTCAGCCCCTCCGATGACACGCGCCAGGCGGCGTCTCCGGGCTCCAAGGGGGTCGTGAGCACCACGACCGTGACGGTGCAGCAGCCGCTGGAGCTGAACGGCGAGGACGAGCTGGTGTTCACGCTGGTGGAGGAGCTGACCATCAGCGGGGCCCTGGGCGGCCGCCCCGCCAGCATCATCAGCTTCAACAGCGACTGCTCGGTGCAGGCGCTGGCCTCGGGCTCGCGGCCCGTCAGCATCATCGGCAGCGTCAGCGAGGACCTGGAGCGCGGCCCAGGCGCGGCCCCCGTCTCCGAGGTCAGCATCACGCAGTTCCTGCCCCTCCCGACGCTGGGCCTGGAGGAGAAGGGCCGGGAGGCGGGCAGCCGGCGGTCCTCCATCAGCTCCTGGCTGAGCGAGACCAGCGCGGGCAGCGACGGCGAGCAGTCCTGCCACAGCTTCATCGCCCAGACCTGCTTCGGGCACGGGGAGGCGCTGGCGGACCCTCCGGCCTCGGAGCTCGTGGGCAGCATCCAGAAGGCCGCCGTGTGCCCAGAGAAGCCCGGGGCGGGCCCCGACAGCGTGCTCATCCTGTCTGAGCTGGGGGAGGACTCTCTCCCCAAAGCCACCGCCCCCCAAGGCTGCAAGGTCTCCGCCCTGGGCAAGGCCATGGTCACCATCTCCAACACGGCACACCTGGGCGGCGGTGGAGGGTGCGTCCCCGTGAAGACCAACATCACCGTCTACCCCTGCATCACCCTGAGCCCCCGGCGCGGCCCGGAGCCTGAGGAGATCAGCGCCACTGTCCCCAAAGCAGCCCCGCCCCAGGAGAGCAAGGAGGCCAGCGCCAGGAAGGAGATGAAGTTCGAGGACCCGTGGCTGAGACGAGAGGTGGAGGCCAAGAAAGAGACTGCGCCTCCCAGGGAGGACGGAGTGAGGTCCGAGGCGGCCACGGGCCCCACACAGCCCGAGGCGGGAGCCGAGCGGGACCAGCCCAGGCAGACCAGTCCCGGCCACAGGCTGAGCGGCGAGGTGGCCGCCTCCCCCGGGACCGACAGCGTCAGGAGGGTGGTGGACGGCTGTGAGACGGCCCAGCCCAGCGGGGCTGCCCAGAGCCCCGTGCCCCCCAGCAGGAGCCTGCAGTCCGGCAGCCTGCCCCGGGCTTTCCAGAAAGGCGGCCAGCAGGAGCTCGACGGCCTCTGTTACCACTGCGCCCCCGAGACCAACGGCGTCGCTCTGGGCGGCCAGGCCTCCCGGGCGACCCTGGAGAGGAAGGTGGCGTCGCCCAAGCACAGCGTCCTGGCTCGGCCCAAAGGCACCCCACCGCTGCCCCCCGTCCGCAAGTCCAGCTTGGACCAGAAGAACCGGGCCAGCCCCCAGCACAGCGCCGGCAGCAGCGGCACCAGCAGCCCCTCGAACCAGCCCCCGCCCTTCCTGGCCAGCTTCGCCGACGAGCCGGGCGGCAGGACGAACACCAGCAGCAGCAGCAAGCTCTTCAGCGCCAAGCTCGAGCAGCTGGCCAGCAGGACCAACTCTCTGGGCCGGGCGACCGCCAGCCACTACGAATGCCTCTCGCTGGAGCGGGCCGAGAGCCTGGCCTCCATGAGCGCGCGGCTGCAGGCGGGCAAGGACAGCACCATGCCCCGCGCGGGCCGGAGCCTGGGCCGCAGCGCCGGGGCCTCGCCCACCCACCCCGGCCCCCCGCCCTCGGCCGGGGCCTCGCCCAAGGCCAGCCAGTCCAAGATCTCGGCCGTGAGCAAGCTGCTGCTGGCCAGCCCCAAAGCGCGCAGCCTGTCCACGCCCCCCACCAAGACGCTCAGCTTCTCCACTAAGTCCCTGCCGCAGTCCGTGGGCCAGAGCTGCGCCCCGGCCGCCGGCGGGAGGCACATGTCCTGGTCCACGCAGTCCCTGAGCCGCAGCCGGGGCGCGGGCCTGGCCGCCAAGCTGCCGCTGCGGGCTGTGAACGGGCGCATCTCGGAGCTGCTCCAGGGCGGCGCGGGGCCCAGGGCCGTGCCATCGCGAGCGGGGCCCGAGGAGGAGCGCGCCGGGGTCCCCGAGGACAAGCTGGCGGCCGTGCCCCTGCTGCCCTCGCCCTACAGCAAGGTGACGCCGCCCCGGAAGCCGCACCGCTGCAGCAGCGGCCACGGCAGCGACAACAGCAGCGTGCTGAGCGGGGAGCTGCCGCCCGCCATGGGCAAGACGGCGCTGTTCTACCACAGCGGGGGCAGCAGCGGCTACGAGAGCATGATGCGCGACAGCGAGGCCACGGGCAGCGCGTCCTCCGCCCAGGACTCCATGAGCGAGAACAGCAGCTCCGTGGGTGGGCGGTGCCGGAGCCTCAAGACCCCAAAGAAACGCTCCAATTCAGGTAGGCACCTGGGCCCAGTGTGCAGGGGGCCACGGGGCACAGGGGCAATGGGAGGTGCAGGGCCGGACCCCATGCTGCCTGCCCTGCGGGTGGTGAGGGCGCCCAGGCCGGTGGCACCGACACCTGGTCTCTCCTTCCCCAAGCCTGTCCCCTGCCGGCCGCGCCCGGGACAGCATGGAGGGTTCACTGTGAATCAGCACGCTGTTGGGGCGTGACGAGGCCTCAAGGCTGTGACTGCCCCTTGGTCAGCAGCCTGGTGAAAGGCGGGAGCTGGGGCAACCAGCGGTGCCCCCCACACTCACCCCTGTGGGCACAGGCTGCCTGTCCCTCCTCGGCTCCCCCACCCAGCGCCCAGGCCCAGGAATGTGGCTGCTGGCACCCCAGGGAGCAGTCAGAGCAGCTGCTCTCTGACCTGTGGCTGCAGAAGCTGATGTGGGGCTGGTGGCCCCGAGTCTCTGGGACTGGGGTGAGTCACTGCCATTGAATGTGCAGTCCCGGTGGTCAGAGCACTGCGTGGCGTGGCCTTGGCCGTGTGGGCACTGAGTGTGGGAGATGCTTTGTGCTCTTCCTGGCCGAATGTGGTGGCGCGGCTCATGCTGCATGCGATCACTCAGACGGACTCCTCTGTCCTCTTACCTCTGACGTCTATGGTTCCTTCCCTCGCTGGGGCCTCATGTTTTTTGATTCGTGTCTTCCTAGCCCCACACCCGAGTCAGAGGGAAGATGGCGGGGAGCTGAGGAGGGGGCTCTCGGGGTCCGGACCGACGAGCGTTCCCCGGTGCTGTGAGGCCTCGCGCCCAGGCGCCGTGTTCCCGACATTTGAATAAGAGGCCAAGTTTTCAGACTCCGTGTGGCTCTTCTGTCCGGACTCTGATGTTGAACATGTCAGACTTCTCCCGGGGCCGCGTGCTGCGGAGGAGAGAGCGGCTGTGAGCGGTCAGGGCCCCTCCGTGCGTGTGGTCAGCCGCCAGGGCTGCGGGGACTCAGTCCCTGTTGGGGGGCGGGCTTTCTCAGGTCAGATCTGGGCCATTTCAGGCAGCAACAGCTCGCGCAGTTAGGGATCAGCCTGCACGCCTTCCCTACCTGCCCTCTGTGCTGGGCGCGGGCTGGGCTGACGAGCAGGGAGGGACGGAGGAGGAACCCAGCGGCAGGAGGCTGGTTCAGGCTGTGGCCGGGCCCCACGCCGTTGGCGGTTGAGCTGCTTCCCTTGACCTTCTGGCAACTGGAAGGCAGTGGTCGTTGGCAGAGACTGAGGTCTGCAGCGGGGGTGGCGCGTGCAGTAGCCCGAGAAGTCACATCCGTGCGGGACCCAGACCCAGGCCTGTGGACAGTGCTCTCCCAGGAGGGCGCAGCCTGTGGCCCGTCCCACCCTCTGGCACTTGCAGTTCCTGGGGTCCCTGCCCCCCAACACACACCTACACTAGGCTCCCAGTACCTGTGGGGGAGGCGAGAGGGCAGGGAGGCCCCGCAGTGGTTGGTGGGTGATGCCAGTTCGTTCTCGGAATGGATTTACTGGTAACCGAATCCGAACTGCTCAGGAAGTCCAAGATACCCGCGCACTAGTGCCCTTATGTTCAATGTTATTTGGCATTAGAGGCCTGGTGCGTGAATCTCGGGGGCGGGGGGGTGTCCCTCAGCCTGCCTGCACCCTCTCACAGTCTAGGAGCCCGAGGGCATCCTTGGTGCTGCCTGGCTTCTGGCTGAGCGATGCTCCCCCTGTGGGAGTGCACTGACCACCGGGAGGCGTCTCTTGTGTTGAGCGTCTGCCCCCCTGGTGGTCAGTGTGCGTCATAGCGACCGGTCGTTCCGCAGTTTGGTCAATTTGCATATTAGCCTTTTATTATATAGGAGAGGGTTAGTTTCAGGTGATTAGACATTTACATAATTTACGAAGTGGTCCCCCTACATTCCAGTGCCACCTGACAGCGCACACAGTTCTTGCCGTGTGATTGCGTGTGAGTGACTGCTCCTCACCTGCACTTGGCCTCCCTGGGCTGTTGTGTCACTGCACTTGCACTTCTAGCTCCGTGTCAGCCCAGGTGCCCGGCGGGGCTGTGATGAGGCGCATGTGGGTGTGTGCGCATCTCAGGTGGGACTGGAGGTGGTTCTACGGTGAGGCAGGGCTCCCCGAGCCTCGGGAGGTAAAGCCCAGCCCGTCTGAGGGGTCAATGCTGAGGGGCTCAGTGAGGGGCGTTGGGGCGTTTCAGACTCACCTCTGCCGCAGGTTCCGGGCCCTGGCACGGCCCCACCGCGTGCATCACAGAGAATCTGTTTAAAAGATGGAAATTCACAAGATGAACTTTGGGCTCAACCCCTTCAGTCTTCTTGAATTTGGGGAGACTTTGCTTGTGACCCTATATGTGGTCTATTCAACCCCTCCAGGTTCCCAGAGACGGAGGCTCATCCCCGCGCTGTCCCTGGACACGCCCTCGCCCGCGAGGAAGCCGGCCCCGGGCGCGGGGCTCCGCTGGGTGGACGGGCCCCTGCGCAGCGCCCAGAGGGGCCTCGGGGAGCCTTTCGAGATTAAAGTCTACGAGATCGACGACGTGGAGCGGCTGCAGCGGCGGCGGGGGGGCAGCGGCAAGGTGAGCGCCTCCTCCCACATGGGGTGGGGTGTCCCCCCGGCAGGTCCCTGGGGCAGGGATGGGGCAGCGCCCTGCGGGGGGCTCGGGCCAGGGGACTCCCCAGCCGGCTTCCCAGTGGGTGGGGCTCGGGGCTCGGTCCCAGCACAGGACGCGGGAGGGCTCCACGTTTCCCGTCTAAACGCCTTCAAGGCTCCAGGGCTGGGAGGCCGTGATGTTGGGGGCTTTTCTGGCTCCAGCTCCCAATGCAGCTGCTTTAAATGTAACAGGTGCCTGTGGTGGCACTGCCCGGGATGGGGTGTCTGAGCTGAGAGTGGGCTGGGATGTCCCCGGCCCCCCACATTCCATGACCAGTCCTCCCCACTCACTTCTCCCCACCTCCTGCCTCTCCCCCCCACCTGCCGTCTCCCCCCACACCTGCCACCTCTCACCTCCACCTCCCGCCTCTCCCCCCACCTGCCCAGGAGGGTGTGGGCTTCAACGTCAAGCTGAGGACCCTGGAGCGCCGCCAGCAGAGGATCGCCGAGGTCCGGGCCAAGTACGAGTGGCTGATGCAGGAGCTGGAGGCGACCAAGCAGCACCTGATGCTGGACCCCGACCAGTGGCTCAGCGAGTGTAAGGCCCGGGTCGCGGATGTTATCATCCTTGTTAGCAGTGTCGCTGGGCCTCCTGTCACTCCACGGCCAAGCACCAGGCCTCTGACCCCTAGGATGACCCTGATAACCTCACTGTAGCCGGGGTCACCGCCAAACAGCCTGGCCTGTGAGCCCGTGTCTAGTCCGAATCCCAGGGCCTCGGTGCCCATCACATGGAGACGGTCACCCCCTCATAGGGGGTGGGGGGTGGGGGCAGCGGGGAGGGGTGTGAGCATCGCTCTTGCAAGATGACTGCTCTGGGTCTCAGTCCAGAGCCCCTGCCAATGAGGGTTCCCTCCTGGAAGGGCGCCCACACGCGGGCGGCTGTCACGCCTGCTCCCGGCCACGGAAGCACGCGGGCGTCTGGCCTGAAACTGACAAGGGTTTACGGGCTCCGCACAGGGTAGAACCGCAGGCCTAGGGAGGCCTGCAGACCGTGCGGAAGTAAGACGAGCATTCTGAGCGAAAACAATCACACGCAGTGAGATTTCCCCTCGGCAGGAAGCCCAGGATGAGTGACAACTGCAGCACGTCTGTCTTTGAGAGACGGCTTCCCTGGTCTCCTATGTATTTGTTCCTAACCGTTCCCTTTACCACAAAACAAAGCCCAAATCTGGTCCCGAACGGCTGCACTGATTGGGGACCCGATGCGGGAAGACAGCGTGTGGGGCACACGCATCTCGGCCCTTACAGCTCCTTTCCCGTGGCCTCCCAGCTCCACCCCAGCCCTCGGCCCCCTGCCTCCCCTGCACACGCCACCCGCTCGCCCGTGGGCCCTGCCCGTGGGGGAGGCACAGTGGGCAGAGTGTGGCCCTGAGGCTGAGGGAGGAGGGGGTGAGGGGTGGGGGAAGCAGCCAGGGGCAGAGCCAGTCCTCACCTGCTTGGGGGCAGCTGCATGCGAGGGCGGGGCCCACGGGAGGGGGACGAGCTTCCCACGGTGACGGGTGCAGCTCCGACTGGGCCGTGCGGGCGCCTTTCCCACCAGCCTCTCTCGTTCGCAGTTGACCTGGAGCAGGTGTGGGAGCTGGATTCCCTGGAGTACCTGGAGGCGCTCGAGTGCGTGACGGAGCGCCTGGAGAGCCGCGTCAACTTCTGCAAGGCCCACCTCATGATGATCACCTGCTTCGACATCACCTCCCGGCGCCGGTGAAGCCAACACTGCCCCCTGACCCCGACCCCCGGGACCTGCAGCCAGGCCCCCACTCCAGGCTCCCGGGACCCGCAGCCAGGCCCACACTCCAGGCCCCGGGGACCCACAGCCAGGCCCCCACTCCAGGCCCCTGGGACCCGCAGCCAGGCCCCCACTCCAGGCTCCTGGGACCCTCAGCCAGGCCCCCACTCCAGCATCCCAGGACCTGCAGCCAAGCCCACACTCCAGCATCCCAGGACCCTCAGCCAGGCCCAAGCTCCAGGCCCCAGGCCCACGCTTCAGGCTCCTGGGACCCGCAGCCAGGCCCATGCTCGAGGCCCCGTGCAGGCGGCGCTGAGCCCACGGAAGGAGGATGAAGGTTGGTGGCAAGTCTGCGGTGGCGTTGAGCAGTGCTGTTTCTGTAGGAGCGGTGCCAACACCGGACACGCGTAGGAGGAGAGAACGATGGGAGGCCAAGGGAAGTGGAAGCCCCGTGAGACTGAAAAAGCACTTTGAGGAACTTTCTAGAATGTGTTTGTCCATAAGGACCGCTGGCAAAAGAGACCTCCCTCGGGCCCTGGTCTGGTGAGGAAGGGCAGGTGGACGTGGGTTGCTGTTGGAAGCCGAGACAACGCCGGATCGTCACCCAGACGACTGATTAAGTGCCTTGCAAATCTCACTGTTACCCAAACACTTACGTCCCCTTCGTTGTGCGCAGATGGTGCTAGTCAAGACGCAAACAACAAAACAGCGCAAAGGGAGCCATCGGGACTGTCCCCGCTCGCTGCTCCGGGTGCTGCGCCCGTTCCCGACCTGTGTTTCTGAGTCGTTGTGTGTAGAGCTGTTTCCTAGTCGGTGTTGCGTATGAATAAATGTTACCCGTCTCTCACGGCTCTTCTGCTGAGGCCGCCCAGCCGCACGTGGAGGCTCCACGGCCCAGCCGCTGTTTCTCCCCAGGAGGTGGTAGCGGCAGGGGGTCCGGGGCAGGCAGCTGAGCTGGAGCGATGAGAGGACACGGCTTCTCTAAGGGGAGGGGCCTCTGCGCCAGCCCCGCGTGTCCTGTGGGCGGGTGCTTGTCCGTACACTGTCCCTCCGCGTCCCGCACGTTCAGGTTCCGTTACCCGATCATCCGGGTGTTCAGGGCCCTGCAACGTTCTCATGTCATTCCAAAGACTCTGGACTGGAAGCTTGAACCCTCACCGGCGCCATCGCTTCTGTGCTCTGGGTTTGTGCGTGGATTAGAGCAGGGAGTCTGCCGGTTCCAAGGCCTCCTGGGCGTGGATGCGCTCGGGGGCGCCAGCCGTGCCGCTGGAGACTCGCAGGTTGGGGAACGGCCGGCCCGCGGGCCATAGGTCAGGTGGTCTGGCCCTGCCAAGGCATGAGGGTTGAGTTAAACACTTGACCAAGTAGAGCAGGCTGATTTTTAAGTTGATGCTTTTGTATGGCCCCCAGATGATGTGATAAGTATCTAAATGGTGGGGAAAAGGTTCCGCACCTCTGCTGGAGAGCAAGAAGGGACGGGGGGTTGCACACACGTCCTGCTGTCCAAAGTGCTGCTCAGACACCGCCGGCCCAGGTCCCCCGGCCCACAGCCCCTCCCCAGGAAGGCCTAAGCATTCCCATCACATCTGTGAGCACAGCCCTTCGGGCAGACGGACAGACAGGGCTTGGCTCCGGGAACTCTGAGCCTTGTTCTCAGATGAGGATACTCATCCTGCCACACTCCCTGAGGTTGTTATTGTACCCATTTTAGTGAAGGGAACCGTGGCCCAGAGCGTGGGGGGACTGTCTCATGATACCAGCGGGGAGCAGGGCATCCCCTGCCTTCTGCCCCCCCCCCTCGCCCACTGGGAGGTGACAGGGTTTTGCAGAAATGTGCACCCTCCAGCTCAGCATACCTATGAGCCTGCTTCCTGCTTCCCAGCCCCCACACCGGCCCGCAGCCCGGGCCCTGGGGAAGCCTGTGCGCTCCTTGTCCATGTGCCTCTGGGTACAGGTGCCCAGCCGCTCGGCCCTGCTCGGCCCTGCTTGGCCGTAGGAGCCGAGATCTGTGAGTTCTCAGTCCCTGATCTTCCTGCCGGACAGGGTTCCTCCAAACGGGCATTTCCCCTCGTTTCCCAGGCATCTGTCCCCTTGGGGGGCGGGTCTCCCCGTCCCCTGGCCTCCCCACCCGCAGGATCTGCCCACCTGGTCACGGCATGTGGTGAGCCCAGCCTGTCCGACAGCAACGTCATGGAAGCACCTGGGCCACAGGGGACCCCAGTCTGGGTTTGAGTTTCCACGTGGCGCCCTTAGGTGGCAGTTTGAAAGGAGAGCCTCGCGGGGGGCACTGACAGTGAGGGGCTGGTCTTTGCTGGGAACAAATCCCGGTCAGCAGTCAGTGCCCCTAGCCTTTCCCCGGGCACATCCCGGGTCCCTCGCTGGGCAGACGCCTCGGGCCTGGCACCTCGCCTGGAGGGTCCCCCAGTGGAAACAGCACAGACTTCGCTCTTCCCAGATCTCCTTACCTGCCTCCTGCCACACCGCGAGGTCAGAGGGTTGCGTGAACCAGGAGCTTCCTTCCGTCGGCCTGGCTGTCCCCGACGCCGCACGTGAGCCGACGATCAGGACGCCGGCAGCGGGAGCAGGAGCAGCGGGTGGAGGCTATCGGTGCTGCTACCTCAGGGCACTGCGGCCGCCTTAGGAGAGTCCTGTGAACACGGACGAAACACGAATCTGGGCTGCGATGGTGTGTCCTGGCCCCACCTGTGCGTGGGCCACACAGAAGCCGGTCGGTCTTCCGGCCTGAGGAGCAGGGCTGAGGCAGGGGCTGGGGCAGCTCTGCAGCCACTGCAGTGACCAGCGCGAGGCGGCCCCGCCTCCTTTCGGTCTGAGCGACAGAGAACCACGAAGGCAGAGGGATGTCATCACCCACACGTGACAGGACAGAAACTGGGACTTGAAATGAGCACCTAGAGGCAGAGCCTGATCCCCTGCCTGAAACCCGCCTCCCCCTGCGCCCCGCCCCCTAGTTCAGGGCGAAGAGGAAGCATTCGCAGCAGAACAAGCTGGGATCCCAGAACCGAGCGCGATGCTGTCGCCCGGGAGTGAGGCCATGCGTTCACGATGGTGTTTCGTGCGGAGCCGACGTCGCTTTCTCCCGGGACGTCTGTCCCCGCCCGCGAGCTGCGTGTTTGATCTGGTCCTTGAATTCCCCTCACATTCATCTCCTCCAGGTTCATCTCCAGCTGCTATTCCGGGCGCGGGGCCTTGTGTGAAGGCAGAGGTCGGCCCCATGTTGACAGGCCGGGAGGGGACCGAGGCCACAGCCCAGCGTGGGGACAGGAGGCAGGAATCGGCCGTTGTCATGTCAGTTGGAGCCGAAGGGTGTGCTTTGGCAGGTGGCCCTGGCCCCACACAGGCACCGGTGCTGGTTCTGGTTCCCCTTCACACTTAGCAAGAAGCCCTGCTTTGGGCTTCGGTTCTCACGCTGATCTGGGTTGGTTCACCCATCACTTTTCTCCGGCGTTCGATGGGAAAGCAGCCGTCGGCCTGGGCAGCTGTCTGTCCTGGGCCACCCCGACCCCTCGCTTCCAAAATACCGATTAGTGAATGTTCTTAAGTTCCTTGTTCTAAGAGGGAACTTAGCCTGAGAGAGACATGACTGAAGAAGAGTTCTCTTCCCGCTGAGACCAGACGGTTCACGGGCTTCCTGGCCGTGCTTTCCTGTGGGTCATTGGCCCACCCTCGAGCGCATCCGGAGGGGTTTCCACACGGTCAAAGGCCATGAAACTGGGCCAGGAAGAAGCACGTGGAAAGTTCTGTCCACGACCGGCCGATGCTGGATAAACTGTCCACGCCCCTGTCCCTGGAGCCTGTCCACGGCGGAGGGTGCAACTCAACAAGCCGCACGGAGCCCCGTCTGCCCGAGGGCCGGCCCTGCCCGCTGTCCTCTGGGCCGGGGGGGGCACAGGACACCGCGCTGCCAGGGCACTGAGGGGTCTGGCCTGGGGGACGGGCACGCACAGGAGGTGGAAGTAGTTTCCTTGCGTTGTCATAGCTCTTCCTCCTCCAGCAAATCCGTCAACATCCATAAAAACCCACAAACTGCGTCGCTCAGCAGTCTTCCTGACAAACACATATTTTTTCTGTTATAAACGGCTTATCATTTCCAGATAAAAACACGGTTCCAATCCAGGAGACGCGCTTACCATTCGAACTCATATTCTCCCAAAAAAGCTTTTTGAAGATTCTTAGAAGCTGCTTTAATCCACCTCGAAACAAACACATCTGCCTTTGGGCGGCCCGACTCAGAACCGGATGGTGTCACAGTGCGGGGCACATGGAGCTGGAGGCGGTCAAGCCTTCCTTGCCCGTAGCCGACATCCCCCCCTCCCCCAGAGCCGTCCACGCCCACTCGGAGGGGTGAGGCCGAGGCCCCGCATGCGCCCCTCTTGCGTGGACATAGAAACCACCTCCGCAGCGAAAAAGGCTCGTTTCTTGCATCCTCCCTTCTGCTGCCCGACACCCCCTCGTCACCTCCGACTATCGAGACTGTAATTTACTTGTAAATCAGGACGTGGCTCGGGAGCATCGCTTGTGACTTATCCCTTACCTGTGCGTCAGGGTGGGCGCTGCCGTCCATGTCCGCATGCGTTCGGTGGGTCTGCGGGGGCTGTTCCCCTCCTCTGGCGAGTCAGGGGCCAGAGAGGGAAGAGAAAGAAAGAAGCCAGGAGAACAGGGATGAGGGCCCAGTCCTGCCAGCACAGGGTCAGCTCCAGGCTGAGCTGTTTCTATGTGAGCAGCTGGCGGGGAAGAGGTACCTTCCTTCTGAGTTTGGTGAGGGGCTTGGAAATCTGCCTCCGTGGGCCTGGGAGGGGGGCCGGGGTGGGGTGGAGAGGACCTGGCTGGTTCGAGGCTGAAATCTGAAAAACAATGGCACAGGGTTAGGCTCCTGCGTTCCCCGAAAGCCCGCCCGCTGCCCCTGAGGGGCGTGGAAAAGCAGCCAGAGCTCCTTACCTGGGACACAGCACCGCCTTTTCCTGGAGAAACCAAAGCACTTTAGTGAGTCTTACAGCCCGAATTGCGTGAGAAATCTGTCCCCTCCCCTGGCTGGAGCGGGAGGGCTGGGGTCCCTGGCTCATGGCAGAGGCAGGGGAGCAGAAGGGACACCTCGTGCGGAGTGAGGACACCTGCTGTGCAGCCTAGACGGGTCACTGGACTGTGCTGCGCCTCGGGCTCCCCATGGAGGGTCGGGGTCCCGAGAGCTGCCCTCTGGGGCGTGTGGAGAGAAAGCAGGTAGCAGAGGGGGTAACGGGCTTTGAAGAAATGGGAGCTGCGGCGGGAGACAGAGCGCTGAGTCAGCAGGTGGCCGGGCACCGCGGGGTCCCTGGCAGGACTGGCTCGAGCCCGCGTGCGTCTGAGGCTCCTCCCACGAGCTGCTGCGGCTCCAGGTGTGTGTCCGGTGACGCACCACACGGAGGCGCTGACGTGTGTGCATGGGGCGGGGCGGGTGCATGTGTGCAGAAGGTTTGCGGCCTGGTGAGGAGCGCAGGACAGGAGCCCGGCTCTGACCCGGCTCTGACCCTAGTCCTGTGGCTTTGGGGGGTGGCCTGACTTCCCTGGAACTGTCTGGTCTGTAAAACGGGGACGTGTGCTAAATGCCTCTGTGGCTCCTCCAGCTCCGTCACGTATGTATGTGTATGTAAATATGCTTCGCGTAGCAACGGGCCCGCCGGACGTCGGCGGCAAGGCCTGCCCAAGTGCATTTATCGTGTCTGAAACAGAACATTCACCAAGTTCATGAAATCCTGTTGGCAAAGTCAATGGTTGTATTTAATGTCATTGTTTGAAATTCACTGTTTAACTGGACAAAAGATTGGTGCCGTTTTGAACATTGAGTTCTTAGCT